CTTGAGCCCTTGGTATCAGCTCCTCTATCTTTTCCCTCTCTCCCCTCCCACCCTCGTCAAATTATAAATTATTATTTTCATATCTTACACCGCCCACTGCCTCCCTTCACCCATGTTTCTGTTGTTCATCATCCTTGGGGAGGCGGTTAATACGTTGATCATTGTACTGTTTAACACTTTAAAGAGTAGAGAGTCTCACAGTTCTTCCGCGGAGCAGCTGGAGTGGCTTGTGGTTTCGAATGTAGCCCAACGCTACATTCCATATCCACTACACCAACCAGGGATCCTTACGGGTGCTTACCCTAGGTAAAGTCGACTCCCAAAACAGACTCACTGCAATTTCGTCGATTCGATTCATAGACCTGACTCTAAACTAACCGAACTCAGTCCCGTGGACTCCATGCTACCTGAAACTATACCTGAAAATTCTTATGAGAACATCGGGGGTTAAAAAGGTAAAGGTCTCTAGAAATTACAAATCCAATCAACAGGTGGCGTCCTCGGTTGGTTGGGAGCCCCTTCGGAAGCCATCAACAAGCGCGGATGCTCAGGTGAACTCTGCCATGGCTCCTGGGGTCTCGCCCTGCAGGTGTCGGGGCCAGGTTGGCGGCTCCGGAGTGTCCAAGTGTGAGAAAGGATGAGGACGAAGAAAAAGGCTGGGGTTTATTTGAAAATATTGATAGACTTTAGCGAGTTCATTTTAAGAACTGAAGAAATTAACCTCACCTCGGCCGCCGAGGGTCGGAAAGGTTCAGGTCAGGTCTGTGGAGGCGAGGGGCCCGTAACGTGGGACCCAAGCCCTCTGCGTCCTCGGCGACTGTGAAAGGGTTCATCCTGCCTCTTCCCGGGAGTAGAGAGCTTGGCGGAGAGGTGGAGTTGAAAGCCATTCTTGGGCCCCAAAGTTTGCCTTGTCTAACAACAAAGCTTTTCCCATGGGGTGGGAAACAATGGTGGACTACCTCCGGCTGGCTGACGGGCAGGCCGAAGTCTCCTTCCATTCGGGTGTTTCGGGAGATGTCACCCGACCAACTGCAAGAGGCTTTCTCCGGAGCATCCCGGCCACCAAGCGGAAGCCATCTTTTCGCTTGAAACGACGAGCACAAGACCCGGAAACTGCGGACAACGCGGCCGGCTCTGCCTGCGTTGCTACAGGTCCGCGGAGCTGATGACCCGCCCTCGGGCGCCCAGGACCCGCCCACACCCCCTAAGACACGCCCCCACGCACCCAGGGCCCGCCTCCTGGTCCCCACCCGCGCGCCAAGGTTCCGCCCCGACTAGTCAAGAAACCGCTTCTCCGCGCGCTGAAAATCCTCCTGCAAATCCCACGCCCATAAGCCGAAGATCCGCTTCCCGGCCCAACCGCGCTCTGAAAACACGCCCCCACACTCACCGAGGAACCACCCCTCACGCAGAAAATCCTTCAGGACCCGCCCACGCGAGCTGAAGAGCCGCCTCCAGGAAGTGGCCTAAGCAACAAGGCCCCGCCCGTGCGTCGAGGCGCTGTACTGCCCCGCCCCCTCTCGCCGAGGCCACGCCCGGGCACGCCCCCACTCGCCGAGGGCCCGCCCCGCAGCTCCGGCCCCGCCCCCCAGCCACAGCAGCTGGAGCTCAGCTCCGGCGCAGCGCTTCCTCCGCGGTCTCAGCTGCCAGCGGCGCCGCAGCAATCCGCCCTACGGTTCTGCTCCCGCCACCGGTGGGTTCCTACGCCCCGCAAGTGGGCGCGCCTGCTTAGGAGGACCGCAGCCGCCGGTAGGTCGGGCCTGTGCCCCGCCCGGAGTCTGCGTCCTCGGCCTCGGGAGAAGCCGGGGCGTCTCCTCCTTCGGAGCGGACAGCGGCGCGGCTGCCTCACCCTCGAGTGGAGTCCGGACGGCGCCGTGGGGGCGGCTCCAGGGTGCAGGTGGCTCCCGGGCCCGCGGCGCGCGCCTCTGCAGTGCAGGGGCAGCCCCAAGGAGGCCGCGGGCGGGCGCAGAGCTGCTGTCGGAGACCCCCCTAGAGCGCTCGGGAGGCTGGGTGGGGTCCCCTCTCTGTTCTCCCTTGACCGGCGCCCGGAAACTGCAGCCGGGGATGCGCGACCGCGCCTTCGCCTTGCCGGCGCGCTTCTGGGGTACGGCAGGTGGAGGCCAAGTCGGTCATGCCGGTTCATCCTTCGCCTTGGCCGGCGGTTGCCCAAGTGGCTGCTCCTTTGTGTGCCGGTGCGGCCCTAGTCCTGGAGGGAAAGCTGGGGATGGAGACCTTTACAAACAGTTTTTCTGTTTATGGAAAGACCCCCATGCCTCCCGGACTGTGCCCAGAAGGGCTCAGGTCTGCAGTGTGCGCACTCTGGCCCGGGCCCCTGTAGGATACCCTCCCCCGCCAGCAAGGCTCTTGGGCTTCTCCGTGCGTTTCTCTAATCTTGGGATAGCTGCCCGACGCTGGGGAAAACCTTTGTAAAAAAGATTTTCCTTATAAGATCATGGAAGACTCCCACCAGTCCCAACGCCAAAGCCCACCCGTTAGGTGTCTTAAAATTCGTTTTCCGATACAGTTTAATTACCCTTCTGAAAGACCAATTTCAAAATAGGAGGTTTTAGAGTTCGTTAAACCATTTGGTTTGTAGACTTAAAAAAACCCCACCTCACTGTCATGGGGTCATTTCCGACTCAGACTGACTCTTTAGAGCAGGGTAGAATTGCCCCTGTGGGTTTCAGAGACTGTTACTCTTTAAGGGAGTATAAAGTCTCATCTTTTCCCTCACAAAATGGCTGATGGATTCAAACTCTCGGCTTTGTGGTTAGCAGCCCAATGCATAGCCATTACACTACCAAGACTAAGGCATAAAAATCCAAATCCAAATCCAGGCTCCATTGCAGTAGATGCCATCAGTGGTTAAGTGCTAGGCTGCTAACTGAAAGGTCAGTACTTTAAACCCCTCCATGAGAGAAAGATGCGGCAGACGGCTTCTGCAAGGCTGAAGCCTTGGAAAGGACTCTGTCCTGCAGTGTTACTATGAGTCAGAGAGTCGGCATCTATTGATAAATATTCCTGTTCATGGAATTGGCCTATTTGTCATTTTTGTCTTTGTTTTATCTAACACAAAAATGTGCCTTGTGAAACGTATCCACAGTTCTTTCTGATCTGGCTGTTGCTTTTTTAGTTGAACTTGTGTTGCTGAGAAATTAAGACTGGAAAAGGTGGGGGAGCTTGTGCCGACATTTTTTAAAAATTTGAAGAGGGCTGTGTACCATCCAATACTACTTGTTTATATGACTGCAGCATTGTATACTTATGTTTAGTAGACTGTCTTAACTCTATCAGGTTTACTGAGCTATTGAATTTTTCAAAGAAAAGTTGTCCAGATAGATTACAAGATCATTGCCAAAAGAGCTATAAAGTAGCGGAGATCCTGTGGCATCTTGCTAATCTGAATCGGAATTCTGCTTCCGATAGCCAATGGCTTGGTAGCCTGGACAACTTTCTAAACAGCCTGATTCCTAATATCCTTGTCTTCAGGTTGGTTATCCTCCTTACACAGAAAACGTTGTGTTGGTGAGGAGATGGGTTGACTGTCCCCGCTCAGAAGTGCTGTTCAAGTGGCATTCGTTGTTGTTCGCTGCCATGGGCTTAGATCTGATGAATGGAGACCCCATGTGTGCAGGGTAGAACTGCTCCTTAGCGTTTGCAAGGCTGACATTTCAAAAGCAGGTCACCAGGCCTGTCTTCCAGGCTGCCTTTTACAGCCAGTAGTTGAGCACTTAATTAGCTGTGCAATCCAGGAAGTGCCTGGTGTAGGTGGAGGAGAGGAGGGGGCGGGGCAGACTGGCTTGTAGGCTTATTTCTGAACTTCTCATCTGTGCTGTCAGTTACACCAAATAGTATTTTCTTATTCTAACCAACCACAGCACTGAATGGCTCCGTTACCTGCTCTTACCTAGCTGATCGCTCTCCTTGCTGGGTGCCGTGGTGCCTCTGTGCCACCCCACCTCCTAAACATGCACACATAGGCACAGGCTCGCTGTTTTTGACTGAGGAAGCATGCTTCCTGGGAGCTCCAGCCGTTCATGCCTGTGGTCCTGGAGGGCTCTTCCACCAGCAGCTGGACTTCCTGTTTCTAACGTCAGCCTCTGTTACTTCAGCTCGTCCTCAGCGGCTGCAGGTGCCACATTAAGTGGAAATGACATATTGAGGTATTTCCTCCTTGCAGAGACGGTGAACTCCTTGAGAGAAAGAACCCTGCCTTCCTGAGATCTTTCTCCCAGAGCGTAGGCACTGATAGTGGGAAACAGGAGATACGTGGGGTGCTAGACATGTTCTGGAAAAAATGCTGTAGACTGTTTGGATGTACTGACTTATGTCTTTCCTTGGCAAAGTGAAAACATCTCTCGTGACCCTTGCCACTCCTTTTCTGAAATATTTACACAAAGCATGAAGGACATTATTCCTGAGAAAGGGACAGGCCTGTCCCAGAATGAGTCGTCTGCCTTCTTTTGCCATTGTGAATGTATCCTGGTGGTGCAGTGGTTAATGTGCTTGGCTGCTAAGCAAAGGGCCAGTGATTTAACCACCCACCAGCCACTCTGAGAGCAAAAGTTGTGGTAGTCCGCTTTCCCTAAAGATGAGAACTTTCAAAACCCTATGGGGCAGTTTGACTATGCCCCGAGGGGGTCACTGTGAGTTGGAACTTGACCCCATAGCAGTGAGTTTTGTTTTGTTTTGCAGCCAGGGGATCAAGGGCATGGTGGTATGGACAAAATTGTGGGGGGTTTTGCTCAAACACTGTGAGATTGATGGGTGTGATGTCTTAAAGCATGCAGAGGACAGTGAGGTGGTGGGTGGGGCCTTGGAGGCCACTGGAGGAGTCTGGATTTTTTTTTTGTTTTATTGATATATAATTCACATGGCAGACAACTTAATAGTTCAGTAAGAAGAGTTGCGCAATCATCACTACAATTTCAGAACATTTTCTTCTTTCTCATAGATTTACCTATTGCACACTTATGGGAAGAGTGATAAAATATTGCGGTTATGATGGTGGTGGTTAGCTGCCGTTGAGTCAGCCCCCGGCTCATGGTGCCACAAGCGTAACGGAAGGAAATGTGTGTTGTGAGGAACATATACTGGCAGTCTACCAGACGAGAGAAGAAGGATTTTTCCTTTAAGCATGTAACTTGTAAGTGTCCAAAACATACTGCCAGAGTAAAGTGCTGTGTTTCTTCCCCTTATGAAGACCTCATTGATCTTTCCTTTACATTGTGATTTCATTAAAATGTAAACATGTACATGTAAAACTCATTAACATGTAAAACTCGAGGAAGAGCCAAACTGGGACATGAATATTTATCAATATTTTCCAAATCAAGGCAGTAATTATGGAAAGGCCTAACTCAGATCACAGAGTGATAAGCAGTGAGGTAGAAAAGCCCAAATCCAAACCAAACTCACAGCCATCGAGTCTGTTCCAATTCATGAGCCCCTGTAGGGAAGAGTAGAGCTGGCCCTGTGACCTGAGCCAGGAACCCTTCACAGGAGCAGAAAGCCTCCTTCCTCCGCAGCAGGGCTGGTGGGTTCAAACTGCTCTCCCTGAGGTTAGCAGCCCGGTCGTGCAGGATCCACTGTACCACCAGGCCCCTGTGAGGTAGAAAGGAGACTTAGTCCAGCTCTGTAAATCTGGTATCTTTCCTGGAGTATAGTATTTGTACGTTAGGGTTCTTCACTGAGCATACCATTTTCAAGGCCCATTTTATGTGACTTAAGGGTGCAACCATGTGGTGAAACCCCCTTAAATGACTTCTAACACCCTGCTTACTAGACTAAATATCTTAATGGGATGAACCATATATGAAGGTTTTTACTGGAAAAAGAGCATATATTATTAAGGGAGTTTTAGGTATGGTTCCCCCCATGATCCTGTGCCATGCCCATGCCCAATTGCAGAGTAGACTGTTGTGATCCATAGGGTCTTTGACTGATTTTCAGAAGTCTGTCACCAGGCTTTTCTTCCTAGTCTGAGTCTGAAAGCTCTGATTAAATATATAAGCCTCCACTGCCAGACAGGTGGTAGCTGCAGGCGAGGTGCCAAGAATAGAACCTGGGGCTCCCACATGGAAGGCAAGAGTTCTACCACTGGTAATGTACATTAATGTGGATTTGTCCGAGGACTTCTTGGAATGCCACGTGAAGAACTGATGGAGAGGTGGGAGGTTGAACAAGAGCTGCTAGAAGACCTCTGAAAACTTCCAGGTTAAAGGTGGCTTGCACAGAGTAGTGGTGGTCGAGACATAGACCAATCAAGAGGACGGGTGTTCAAGACTTGGATTGAGTGTGGCAAGTGACAAGAAGATAAAGTACAGTGTGACAACAAAAGTCTCATGGGTGATGGAACCATTTTCTGAAAAGGAAAGAGGCCTCTACCTCCTGTTTGCTTTTCTGGAATCTCATTTTCCAGAACTGTCAGGTGGAGATGGAGCCACAGGGGAGGCTTGGAGTTGTAGTGTGAGCTACTCACAGGCCTGCCCTGAACAGCATTCAAGCTGTTGCTGAGTTGTCTGACTCCTAGCAGCACTCGGATAGCCTGGAACTGCCCCCATGGGGTTACCGAGGCTGCCTTCTTTTCTTTTTGGGCATTTTATTGTGGCTTCGGTGAGCAAATCAATTTTCCATTTAATCATCAATGTACATTTTAATTGATGACATTAATGGTAGTCCCCTCAATGCCACAGCACTCTTCCCACTTCCTCCCTGCAGTTCCTATTTCCATTTATCCATCTTTCCCACCCCGTCCTGCCTTCTGAACTTTTATTTGGTCTTGTATGGTTGATGGTAGGAGCAAGCCCCTCACAGGTGTTAGTGTTCATTGTGTAGGCCTGCCTGTTGTTTGGTTGAGAGGTGGACCCTTGCAGTGGGCTCATTTCCAAGTTAACGGGGTGAAGAGCCAAAGCGTCAAGGGTTCCATGGGTCTCTATCAGACTAGTAAGTGTGAATTTTTAAATTTCTTTGATTCTGTTTGATATTGTTCTCCCACTCCATCAGGACCTTCTGTTCTGCTCCCAGTCACAGTCCTAGTGGTAGCCAGGCACCATCTAGTTCTTCTTGTCTCAGAGTAGTAGGGACTATGGTTTGAGTGGCCCATTAGTCCCTTGTATAAATTGTTTTCTTGAGCCTTTAGACCTAGTTGCTCTTCTTTGCTCCAGGCAGGAGAGACCAATTTGTACTTTTGTTGGCCACTCAAAGCTTTAAGACTCCAGTTAGTACTTAATCAAAGTGGTATGTAAAATATTGTCTTTATGGACTAAAGGCTGTCATTTCTACACAAGGAGACCACCCCCTCTTTCTCTTGCAGAGTGGCTGGTGGGTTCAAATGGCCTATCTTTCACTTAGAACAGCGGCTCTCAACCTTCCTAATGCTTCGACCCTTTAATACAGTTCCTCATATTATGGTGACCCCCAACCATCAGAAATAAGTGTTTTCAGATGGTCTTAGGTGACCCCTGTGAAAGGGTCGTTCGACCCTCAAAAGGGTTGTGACCCACAGGTTGTCATTCGACCCCCAAAGGGGTCCAGACCCATAGGTTGAGGACCGCTGACTTAGAAGCTGAGCATTTAATCACTAGGCCGTCAGGGCACTACTGAGCAACATTAGGACCATATACTAATTACTACTACTATTACTACTAGGAGTTTTTACGGAGTACAAACAGTTAAGCAAGGCACTGCTGGTTTGAATCTACCCAGAGGCATCTCAGAAGAAAGGCCTGGCAATTCCCTCTGAACGAGCGCCACCATTGAAAACGCCGTTCTCCCAGCACGCGTGGGTCGCCATGAGCTGGAGTCAGTGCACCAGCAGCTTCTGTTTGCTTTCTTATCATTAGGGGGATAAGGAGTATGGGTAGGTGTGTGCCCCACCACACTGTCTCCAGAAGTTCATTAGATGAAGTCTACAGAAGGAAAGCAAATCAAAATGTCAAAGCATTGATTCTGAGAGGATGTTATGCATGGGACTTTCTGACGGACCAAAGGAACAAGCCAACATTTCTGTTGCATGTGAAGCATTTCAGAATTGTAACTTGTTTCAGTAAATTGGTGGATTGACCTTCAGGTTTTGTTGTTGTTGTTTAGAAAACTGGGCCAAAAATGGCATAGAGCAGTGTTTGTTTGTTTTTTTAAAAATGAAGGGCTGCAGTAAAAATAAGCATGCGTATGCATTTAGGATGTACATAGTGATAATTTTCAAAATGTCAGATCCATCTAGGTTCTCATGTTTCTCTGCTTCCTTTTATCACGTTGGGATAAAAGTAAAAGGAACTGGCTGCTATCAGAGTTGGGGCTGGATGGCCCTCATATCCACCTTTGTCATGGCTGCAGTAGGTCAGGGATAATGAATGCATCTTGTCACTGGCAAAACAGAATCACCCACTGAAGAACATACAAGGGCAAGAACACTAGACTAGTGATGGCTTGGACCCTGGTAAGCACACCCAGCATCTAGACTGGGGCAGTGGTAGAATTCTTCCCTTCCATGTGGGAGACCCCGGAACAATTCTCAGCCATTGTCCCTCATGCACAGTCACCACCTCCCTGTCAGTGGAGGCTTGTGTGTTGCTGCGAAGGTTAAACAGATTTTAGTGGAACTTCAGACTAAGGTGATTGAGGAAGAAAGGTTGGTGACATATTTATTGTGCCAACCTGGCCGATAAACACAAGTCAGATTAACTGAAGGGCGGAGAGATAAATGGCTTGGTGAGCCTCGCCTTTCTTGTCTCTCACTCTTTGATAATCAGACCAGTGTGCGGCTGCCTTGCTTGTTCTGTGCCTCAATTTACAGGCTACACTACCTGTGGGATGCCTAGCCTGTGAATTGTGTCGCTGTAAGTTGAGGTCCCTTTAGGACATCTCTGGAGCTGGGGACTGGTGATGGAACTGGGGAAATAACCACAGGATGGGTTCGAGGGCCCACTGGACCCACAGTGAGGCATACCTGAGCTAAAACTCCATTGATAACTTGACCTCCATAAGCCCCCACTCTGACTTGTGGGCCTTCGAAACACTTTGGGTTTCCTGGAACTAGTGTCAGTTCCAAGCCAGTGTCCAGTAATCCCCGAAAAGTTTGATTATTTCCTTTCCCCCAATGAACAGTTACTCTTGTGAAAGGCCGCAGGTCCCTTTGGGGAAGGCTAGAAGAAAGACTAACAGTATAGACCTTCGCTGATGTAGTAGGGTCCTCCTTCAAAGGGACCCGGCCTCCCCCTCATTCAAGGGGTTGTGGGTCTTTAAACTGGCTCAGGTTTGGGAATTGATTGAGCGATTGTGACTATCTATTCTACTGTTCACCTGATCTACCATTCTTCCGCCTGTATAGATCACATAAATATTTAGTAGGTTTCCCATCTATTTCGTTCCTAGGGACACCGTGGCTAAGTAGCCAATGCCATAATTCCACACGAGATAGGTTTCTTTGATTACTACGGAAACCTTGTTGTCTGTTATAACCACGCCCATCCTGTCTCAGTTGATTCAGTGCTGACACCTGCCCTCTACCATCATGGGGACCAATCAGCCCCACTGTGGGCAAATGTCGGAGTTCGCTTAGGGCAGTGCCCACTGTTAATCCTGGTGCACATAAAATAGCAATTACAGGAGTCTTAAGAGATGGTGGGGCCCACTTCACAAGCTTGATCTACTTCAGAAAGTCACCAGTGGTCACCATGAGTCGAGAAGCAACTCCACAGCAGGCAGCAACAAACACCATTCATGATGAGTGAAGCAAAAAACTATAAGGATAGCCCGTGACAACAGGGGTCCTGGGATGCATTGGATCTTAATAACCAAACAGACACGGGCGCCTTTTTGTCAACACTGCTGTCAGACATTTTACCCTCCATCCTTTATTATTTAAAGTATAATTTTATTATCTTTTTCTTCACCTGATTTCCCTGGAGAATTTTCCCAGTTCTCTTTCATAGTTGTAGACTGGATTGCTACTAGACTGTTCATGTGAAGAACCTGCGTTCTGTGCCGTTCGGTCAGTCTCAATGCTAGCAGTCCCGCAGGATAGAGTAGGACAGCCCAGGGGGTCATCCTGACTGGAGCACATCTCCAGTCTTTCTCCCGAGGAGCTGCAGTGGGTTTGAATCTCTAGCCTTTCCGTCAGTGGCCAAGTGCTCAGCCATGGCGCCACCGGCCTTGTTAAGAGCACAGAAACCGAGAGAGCTACTTTCCCTGGGATTTTCTAAAAGCCCAAAGACGGGAGGAACCATCTGCCCCCAGAACTGCTAACTAGGAACAGTGCGTAGCTAGCAGCTTTGGTGTTTCACTCCTAAAATGAATTCTGTTAGTGCAGTGGAACCTTTGTTGCCCCCTCCTGCCCTGCCAATGTGCATTTCTCAGATCCAGCGAGGGCAGGGAACGTTTATTTTTTTATCTGCCTTGGTGCCTGGCCCAGAGGTCTCGCCCAATATTTGGATTGGATGGTGAGGCGAGGTAGACAGGCATGTTTGTGGAAGCCTGTCTTCTTCGGTTCTGGGCTGGGGACACTTTGTCTCCTTCAATAGCTCACTCATTTGTTTGTTTTTTGATTAGCTTTTAGATCCTTTCTCTGCTGCGAGAATGTAAGATGGATCCGGAAGAGCAGGAACTATTAAATGACTACAGATACAGAAATTACTCCTCTGGGATCGAGAAGGCTTTAAGGAATTTTGAGTCGTCGAGCGAGTGGGCGGATCTCATCTCTTCCCTTGGCAAGCTCAACAAGGTACGTGGGGCTGCCGGTGTTCTCTGGATCACCCAGAGGCGGGAGCGCCACCGTCTTTTGGTTTCTACAAGGAAATCTGCTGGTTTTAACAATTTTAAAAGACAGATCAGGAAATAATGACTCCTAATTCTACTACCCAAATTAACCCACGACTAACATGTTAATTTGTCCACGTACATACATACGTGCATTCTTCCAGTTTGGTTTTTTTTCCCCTGAGCCTAGAACTGTAGTGGAGTTGAAATACTATATGAAGAGAACTTGGGGGGTTGCTTGTTTGTTTCTCAGTATTTACGGTGAAACCGATAACCATTTTAATGATCAAGCCCGTTATTCAGGGAGTGCACTGTTCCTGATGTGACATAAACAGCTGCCAGGGAATCCGGTCCGGTTCCTGGTGACCCTCCCTGTGTCAGAGGGGAACCGGGCCCCTCGGGGTTTTCAGTGACTGGCCTCTCGCAGGCCTCCTGGGGCACCTCTGGGTTGAGTGGGCTCAAACCTCTTGTTCGACAGCTGAGTGCTTAACCCTTTACGCCAACTAGGGCATTTTCTTTCTGTTTGATTTGTTAACATACACTACTTAGCATTTTGACTGCTTCCCCTCTCCACCCCCACTCCACCCCCGCTTCGATCTACTTTTTCACCATTTTGTCACTGATTATTAACTTTCAGAACATTAAAGGATGGCATAAATATGGCAATTTCCCAAACTGCATGAGTATCCGTGCGCACAGGCACACGGTGTGGGCAAGGACAAAAGGGTCAGAGCTAGGACAGCCGGAGCTCTGATCCCATGTGCACTTGATCTCCTGTTCTTTATCTTGTGGTCTCTGGACTCTGGCTATGGAGGGTTCCCTTTAGGGAGGACCTATCTAAACGGGGCTCCCCAGGTGAGCAGTGTTGCCTATAGGTGGAAAAAAACTCTGCTGGGCTTGATGAGGCTGTGCCTGCTCTGTGGCTGGCCGACCAGTGTGCCTGGCACGAGACCTGGCTTTGGAACTAAAACACCATGTGGGAGTTGGGAGATGCCCAGTCTGTTCTGCAGAGCTCAGCTCCCAGGTCAGAGGCACCAGGGGCCCCTGATGAACCTCGCTGACAGAAGGCCTTGCTCCATTCACCCCTGCAAGGAGCAGGGATGAGTGAAGGATGCCAGCAGCTGACCTGGTGCAATGCCCAGCAGCCACCCAGTGGTGGCCACCAGAAAGCAGTTATCTCCACTGACAGATGGTCATCGGGCTTAACAGTAGGCGGCTATGGCAGGTAGTGGCTGGGAAGCTGCTTGGTTTATTGCAGGGTGTCTTTATAACATGTAAATGTCACAGCTGACTACTGACTGGGCAACTGAATCACTCCAAGGTCTTGCACTAAACGTGGAAATATGAGCTTGACACTTCTTCAGTTACGCAGCGCCGATACAGTAGTTCTCAAGCTGACGATTCGCTGACTTGAATGACAGCAGGTAGAGGGGCTGAGGCCTGTTCAAGTCCCTCTGGGTGTCTCACTTTCGTCTTCAGCGCTCCTGGCACATGAAAAACAACATACACCTTAGTGTGTGTGTGGGGGGGTACAGTCCGTTTTATCTCTCTCTTTTTAAGTTGAGGTGAAACTTGCATAACATGCTGTGCTTAGGTGCTGACAAGTGTGGTTCCAACCACAGCAACCTAAGTGCAATGTTGGACTCAGTGATGCTGGTGATGAGCAGCGTGTTGTACGACTTCACCGTGGCTCTTCTACAAACTGTTCCACTGCCGGTCACAGCCTGTCCTTCCTGCACCACTTGCCCTGTAAGTGGTATCGCACTCTAGTTGTCCTTTTGTGGCTGGCTTGGCATATTTTCAAGGTCCACCCACGTGGGAGCATCTATCAGGGGTGGTGTTTTCTTCATGGCCGAAGGACAGTCTGTTGTATGCACATAACATGTTTTGGCTTATTTATGCTCCTGTCCATGGACAGTGAGGTGGTTTCCACCTTCTGGCTGTTGCGATCAGTGCTGCAGTGAAGATGGGTGTATGAGTTTCTGTTTGCACGCCTGCTTGCAATTCTTCTGGGAATATCCGTGGGATCCGGTTTGCTACATGCTACATGCAATCTTCTGAGGAGCCACCCTGACTGCTGGCTACCTTGGCCGTCCCACTTTACATTCCCGCCAGCAGGGCATGAAGGTGTCAGCTTCTCCATCCATGCTCATTTCTGTTCCTTTGGCTGGGCAGGTCTGTCTTTGTGTCCAGACCACATCTATTTTCTGTTTCGTTTTTTAAATAATAACTGCCTTAGTAGATGTGACGTGCTATCTCGTTGTGGTTTGGGTTTGCATCTCCCAGTGACGTAATGGGCTATGTGTTGCGCCTCCAACCACAAGGTCAGCAGTTTGAACTCACTAGATGCTCTGTGGGAGAAGGATGAGGCTTCCTACTTCCCAAAAGATTTACGGCTTTGGAACTGCTCCAGGGGAGCAGTTCTCCTCTGCCTTATGAAGTCCCTAGGAGTCAGAATTCACTAGGCGGCAGTGAGTTGGGGTCCAAGGACTGATGAGAAAGCCTGGTGGTACACTGGTTAAGTGCTCAGCTGTTGGCCTTTAAAGATCAGTGGTTTGAACCCACGCACTACTCTGTAGGAGAAAGATGTGGCTGTCTGCCTCCTTAGAGATTTAGAGCCTTGGAAACCGTGTGAGTCAGTGCACTACAGGATCACACTGAGTTAGAATCAACTCAATAGCAGTGGGTTTTGGTTAATGGGTAATGACTAACAATGTTGAGTACTTTTTTCCATGGACTTGTTAGCCATTTGTAGATTCTCGGTAATGAAATGTCTTTTCAATTGTCTATTTTAAAATTGATTAGTTTGTCTTTTTTTTGTTGTAGGTAAGCATTCTTTATAGATGGTGGACATACGTGGCCCATAGGTATTCAATGTGCAAACATTTTCTCCCATTCTGTAGTTGTCTTGTCATTTTCCTTTGATAATGTTCTTTGGACAAAAGGTTTTAATTCATCGCTGCCTAATGATGAAGATTTATGCCTATATTTTCTTCTTAGAGTTTTATCATATTAGCTCTCATTTTTTGCCCATTGTTTAAACATTGTGTGGGGTGTGTCGTTTGTTGAAGAGTCTGTATTCTTTCCCTATTGAATGGTCTTGGTATCTTCGTTAAAAATCAATTGATTCAAATGTTGGGTTTACTTCTGGTCTTGATTCTTTTGCTCTGTACATCTCTCTTTATGTCCATACAATTATTATTTTGGTGATATTTTAAAATTGTTGTTGGTAGGTGCTGACAAGTTAGTTTCGACTTGTTACGTTTGAGCCCCGTCGAAGCCACCGTGTCAATCTGTCTCATCGAGGGTCTTCCTCTTTTTCGCTGCCTCTCCACTTTACCAAGCAGTACTTAAATAGTGGCATCGTTTTAAGCATTTCAATATATATCAATTGTCTTAGCCATCAAAACAGCCCTTGTTGGGTACTGACATACCCACGTTTTTTAGATGAGAAAATGGAAAGATAGGAATTTAGTTGGCTAATGCTTGCCACAGGTGATACTTGCTGTGAGGGCAGAGACTTGCTCCCCCTTCCTGATGTACCTTAAGTGTCTGGGACTGTGCATGGCATGTATGTGTGTGTGTGTGGGGGGATTCAGGCGTGGGACAGTGTGGGGTGTGTGTGTGTGTGTTTTCAGGCATGGGACAGTGGTTGTGTGTGTGTGTGTGTGTGTGTGTGTGTGTGTGTATGTGTTCAGGCATAGGACAGTGTGGTGTGTGTGTGTGTCTGTTTTTTCAGGCATGGGACAGTGGTGTGTATGTGTGTGTGTTTTCATGCGTGGGACAGTATGTGTGTGTGCGCCTTGTGTGTATGTTTTCAGGCATGGGACAGTGTGGTGTGTGTGTATGTGTGTGTGTGTGTGTGTTATGTTTCAGGCATGGCACAGTGTCCCAGAGGCATGAACTCTGAGTGCAACCTGGAGTGTTTGCTTTTGTCGGAATGATGTGGGGCGCACAGGGAGGGACCCCACCAAGTATGAGCAAAGCCAATAAGAGAAAACAGCAGCAGTCCAGCTACTGTGCAGAGCAGTTTGGCCGCTCCTCAGAAAGTTAAATATAGCATCACCATGGCTCCAATAGCCCCAGGCCTACATTCATATTCTAAGAGCCTTGCACACAGGAACACAGAGGTGTGCCTCTTTCGTCTGTTCCCTCTCAACCTGCACGAAACATCCAAGTTCAGTTCCAAGCAAGCACTGTCTGTTTTTCTATGTAGACTTATATTCCTAGTGCAGTTTTGTATTGGCTGCTGCGCCTGCTATTGCTGGCTGCCACGGGGCTGTCCCTGACTTGTGGCCACCTTATGCGCAAGGGACCAAAGCACTGCCCAGTCCTGCACCAGCCCGATGTTAGGTTGCAGGCTGGACTGTTGTAATCCAGAAAGTGTTCATTGGCTGATTTTCAGAAATCGACCACAGGCCTTTCTTCCTAGTTCATCTTAGTCTGGAAGCCCTGCTGCAACCTGTTCATCGTGATAGCCATAGGCCGGCATCCACTGACTAGTGGCTGCGTCTGAGGTAGATAGGGGTGCTGTTTTAGGCAGAGATGGCTCTGATAAGACAACATTTGATCAGAGACCTGGTGAAGTGAGGAAGCTGGCCACAAGGCACCCCAGGGTGTGTGGGTCTTCCAGCCTTGGCAGGCATCTTTCTATGGCAGCAGATCTCAACCTGTGAGTCGCAACTCCTTTGGGGATCGAATGACTCTTTAAGAGGAGTCGCCTAAGATCGAATGACCCTTTCACAGGGGTCGCCTAAGACCATCGGAAAACGCATCTTTCCGATGGTCTTAGGAACTGAGACACTGCTCCTCTATCCCGCTCCAGGTGGGTCCGCCCATATGCAGGTACACCCACATACGAGTACCCGGCGTGAAGATTCTTACCCATGCTACACCATGCTGCAAGACAAAATTTCATTTATTTGTAATTAGAAATAAATATTTCACAAAATATAATCACATATT